ATGAGGTAAACGATTTGCTATTACATAAGATAATCATCAAAATGCCGAGAATAAATGAACATTTTTCTTTATCAAAAGCATATGCCAAATGAATCAAATAATGTCAGTTTCAAAATGGCGGGAAAAGGGGCTTTTTACCTCTTTAACATTCGAACTATGAAGGAAGCTTTAATTTCCCCCCTTAAACTTTTCCAGATGCAAAAGCATCATCTTCAAACGGAGCAACACCCTCACGAACTATTCAGAGCTGGTACACACAGCACAAGAGCCCTGGCAAAATTCATTCACAACAGCAACGATTACAGGAATTCTTCAAGTACAGAAACAATATTAATAAACAATTCCACAGAAGCCATCATTAAGACAACACAATTTGGGGCGGCAAGCGACCCTAAACTGCAACGACACTGCCATTTCATCGCTTTCAATCACAATTCTCTGGTGTTTCTACAAAACACATATCATTTGGCTGCAGAGACCAAAAAGAAAAGAAGCAGATAAAACAGCAGAAGAAACCAGACGTCCGAGAAATGAAATGTGAATTGCAGTTTCAAGAAATGAAACCCAATTAAACGTGTGTACAAAACATAAGTACAGAATGCTAACCAAAAAGAATGAACATACAGGAATGACGCCCTTAATGGTGGTATATTGGTAATGGTATGAAGGTGTGTCCTCAAAAAAGGTGTACAATATGAAGTGGAGAGAGATGAATACAACCCGACCTTGAAATTCATAAGACTGATGCAGAAAAAATTAAACAAAAATATGAATGGATAAAGTCCTTAAATAGAACCGCTAAAAGAAGTAGAAGTTCAGAGAGAGTAGCACAAGGGTGTCTAAGCGGGGCATAACAAGGGAAACAACTCCCTGTGTATTGTACTCATTCATCCATTTCAACATCCCAGAACCACACAAAGGTAAGCCCCTCCCCTCTACGCTGGCCATTTATCTCAAATCAGAGATACATTCAAACTGACCCAGCCGTAAAAATGACAGTACTTAATGGATGCCTCCTCCCGCTTCCACCATGACAAAATGACATATACCGACTTCACCTTGCTAATGCAATAGTTAGCAATGCTTTCATGATGATGCAAGAGTTAGTGACAACTGGGAGTGAACAGCTTCCGTTGTCTGTAAGTGACGACTTGTAAGATGCAATCTTGACCCCGACTCAACACACCCAAATGCATGCAAGGACTCTGAATAAGAAAAGAATATGCCCAACCAGCAAAAGCCTCAAATAGAAATGACACGGCTGATGGCCAATTTGGCCCATTCAGCTGATTCTTTAATCAAATGGTCTTCTGAGGACAAGCATTCACTTAAAAAGTCTTTGCTTGAGACAGATTGCTGAATCAAAGAGCCAGCATTGCTTCCCAGGGTGTCTGCTAGATCTCCAAGGACCCCGATGGCAGTTTTCATCACGACCTCATCCCTACAGAAAAACCAAGCAAGAAAACATCGTATATGAGAAACTCCATCCACAGAGAGATAGAGATAGAGAGATCAGCAAAGAACTCACATGTCCTTCCCCATGTAAATACTATCCAAGAACTGAAGTATATGAGGTGCATATGGGACCAAGAGCTGAGTTTTTGGAGAGCTCTTGAAACCTTGGAAGATCCCTGAATACGCCTCCAAAATACCATTCCTCAAGGAGTTGGTATACTCCGTCATTTCATCATCAACGCCTGCAGTATGTGCAGACAACTCTGCCGCCCGCTGGAGCATCGGCATGGCATACATCAAGTACTTCTCAAAATTCTCCCCAATAGCCAGTGCTATATCACCAAAGCATGAGAAAATAGGGGGTTTAACAGAGCGGTGCAGTTGATCACTAGACAAATTCTTAAGCAGCTGAGTCATAATCCCATCACAGTAAGGTAAAATCTTATCTTCCAATGCCCTGCATACATCTCCTACAACACCAACAGTGACAGCACAAACTTGGTACTCTTCAAAATTCTGAAGTCCCATTTCTATATATTTATAGAACTCAGTCATGTATTTTGCAAAATCTGGACCCGCTGCGTATGCAAGAGCGCCAATGGCCAGCATTGCCTCCTCATGAACAGTAGCATTTCTACAAGCAAAGACCCTAAGGAAAAGACCCATCATATTATCTGCATACTGCATAAACATATACTTGGTAGGCTCTGATGAACCTAGCTTCTGAATAAGAACTTGTAAACATCCACAAAGCAGGCCCTGCAATTCACCTTGTCTCTCCCTTTCATCAGATGAGAGCTTTTGCCCCTCAAGAGTCTTGTGCAACTCCAACATGATGACAGGTACCAGTTGCAGCACCATTGAGGCTGTCTCCTCAGTTGAACACCTCACGACTTCATTCAGTGTTTCATATGCTGCAGTCCGCAGCCGTGACTCCCCAGCATCTTCTCTGTGAGTAACGGTTAAGAGGGACTGAACAATTTCTTGGAAATAGGGAGTTAAAGGAGATGATACGCCAACCTCTTCATATCCTTGAGCAAGAAAATAGAGAGCACCACAGGCTTTCTCTGCCACGTTTGGAACATCTTTCATGCTCTGGAGCAGAACGGTAATGATCTGTTGGCAGTTCGCCTGATTAATTATGGGTGTATCCACATTTGAACCATGAAGGAATTCAAATATCCGTCCAAGGGTCCACGCAGTAGTGTCCTTCACATGGTTATTTGGATCTTGTGTTAAGGCAGTCAGCATAAATGTCAAGGCCACATTAACAATTGGCATTAACTTTTCTGGGGCAGGTCCTTCCAGAATTGAACCAAATGCATAAGTAGCTGCCTCCCTCTGCCTCCAATCAGACTTGGTTATGTTCTCTTCAATGAACGGCATAACAAGTGGAACAATATCATCTCCAACAGTTCGTGCAACAAGCCCAAGACATGTACCCCCAGCCATGGCAATATTCCAAGCCCCTTCATCTTGATCCTGATCCTCTTCTTGTTTGAGAAGTGTCTCAAGCAACATGGGCACAAGAGCAGGTAGTGCCTGCTTGATAAAATAAAAGCATGGAATATCAGAATCCCCAGTAAAATCATCCCCATATTCTTCCAAGATGTCTATCTCCTCATCACAAATAGAACTCCAAAATTCAATAGCTTGAAGTGCAACAGGTTCTTCATCTTCCCTAACAGCCTTTGCGGTAATGCCAAAAATATCCTGGATGTACCGAGCTAATTTGTCATAGTATGTAGAAGCAATGGAGACCAAGCATTCAAAAGCTGCTTGTCTTATCTTCACTTCAGAAGATAGTGTGGCCTCACAAACCACTCTCATAATATAATCACGCTCCATATCATTGCTAAAATTTGCTTGAGCAAATCCCAAAGCATTATACAGCGATCGAGTGGCAGCAAGTCGGACATCATTGTTCCCTTCAGATGCATTCATACCCTGCACAACAGCTGTCAATATCTTATTCACTTGATCTTGATCTATCACATCCGGTGATACTTCCTCACATAAATAACCAAGGGTCTCCAAGGTGGCTTGTTTGACATGAGTTGATTGCTGATGGACATTCAACAAAAGTGAACCAATCAGCTCAGGCCATTGCTTATGAGGCAACTCAATGCCTGCAACTTTTGCAATAACTTGGGACGCTGTTGACCTAGCATCAACTACAGGCGAAGAAAGAGTACTCAACAAACATGTCTTTATCTGGGTTTTGGCATTTCCATCCAGTGACAACCATCTTTGGACAAGCTCAAACTTCCTATGCTGTTCCTTAGCATCCAAGGCATTCTTCAGTATCAAACCTGCTAATTTACGGCTGTCAACTGGCTTCTCTTCATTCGCTAGTTCACCCGAAAGAGATAACAAGAAACTGGGAAGGTTCTGCTCTTGGAATTGCCTTAAACTGTCTTCTGCCTGCTTCCTCACAGACGCATCAATAGCCTGAGCATTCAGAAGCACCTGTGTAACTTCCATTGCCATATTTCACCTGAGCACGTGGAACAATCAATAGTCACTCATTAGTTCAAAAACAAGTAAGCCACTCACAAACAACTTCAAACCTCACAATCCGATCTAGTCCAGAAATCTGAAGAACTCTGGAGGCTCATTAAGAAATATTGTACAAAAAAAATAATAAAAAATATCCAAAATCTCAATAATACAGGTGAACCATTAAAAACCCTAGTCAAACTTCAACTGATCTAACACGAACCCCACCCTCCTACCCCAACTAATGCAGACCTAGCCTCAAGCCAGAAACCCAGACCACAAGAAATACCGCAACAAATTTCAACAAGATCGAAATAAGCTCGACGCAATGACACATAAACACACTGAAACAAATTCCTCGCTTATGAATAAAACACTGACACTTGAAGCAACTAAAAATTAGCCAGAAAAAAGTATATCCGATTCAATATAGTCAAAGAAACACACAAACAAGTCATTGATATACAGATCAAAAGGCAGAAATTGAGTGAGCACATTTGGAATCGTGAATACCAGTGAGTGAGAAATCCGCGGTTCTGAAGAAGGGCAAGGAAGAATTCCGTGAGGTATTTGAAGAAAAATCTGCGAGGGAGAGCGAAGAGACGGCGTCCTTAAAACCCTAGAGTGGGGGAGCGAGAGGAAGAGGAGGGGGAAGAAGTGCAAAGTGCAAAGCTGGATTTGAAATACAAAAACAAAAAACAGATTGATTTTTTAAATAGCAATAATTTCCGGGTAGTTTTATGACGCGGTGTGTTTCATTTTAGGTATTCTGAGTCTGACCCATTCAACCAATCAGATCTGTTGGTCAAGTCAAGTCAAAGTAAATGGATTTCTTACCCGTTGGATTTGCAGAAAGTAAATGGAGTTCCATAATGGTACAGTGAGACATTCCTTAGAGAAGTAAAAGTCAAATTTGAATGATGGGAAGATAACCTAGACGTTGTTTGGAACACTAACCTGCGCTACGGTTAGTTGAAAGTTACAATTTTAATATATTTATATTTTACTACCATTATTATCGCATTATTTCTCTTTATACCCCCAGCTATAAAATATTTACATTTCTCACCCAGCCCCCCTTCCTTTCGCTATTTTCCAAAATTTTTTTTGAACTCTAATGAAAATTTTAAATCAACCAATATGTAAATAACTTCTATTTCAAAATGTATATGCTAATTTGAAAATAGTCAATAGACTCATTTTCAGTCGGATTCGAATTTTTATTATAGTCATATTTACTTTAGATATTTTTTATTTATTAATATTACAATTTAAGTATAAAGAGATATTTCAAATTTACTGTTTTTAAAAAATTACGTTACTTTGATTTTTAACCCAACCGTTGAAAATATAAAAAGGAAGAATTAATATACGTATCTCGCAATCTTAGAATTAATTTATCAGTTTAACTTTTTGTACCAACAAAATAAAAAGAGTAATGTATTACATATAGAAAAAGAAAAGAAATTAGTTAGTTCAAGACATTATATATTTCTCCATGGCATACCATTGTCTTGTCACGTAATTATGTGGGTATGTAAGGCTATCACTTATATTGTTGAACGTGCAATATTTTCAACGAGGGACTACACATCTTTATCACACTTTATTTATTTATTTTGAACATTTTTTTTATCACATTCTATTAGACATTTTTCTTGTGGGTACATGATGAAATCCACGAACCAATTAGCAAAGTTTATTGGAAATTAATCTTCATATTACTCAAAGATACTTAAATTTGTTTAATAAAATGCAAGTTAAATTTCAACCTATAGCATAACTTGTGCTGACATGTATTTATCTATTACCAAGAGGTTTTGACTTCGAATCCGCATTTTACTTTACCTATTTTAAAAAGTTTCAAATTCAACATTAAATTATATTTTGTCTAATTAGTCCGTACTTAAAAAATTAAATAATAAAAGGCTTCTAATTGAGTATTGCACTACTTTGTCTAATTAATCTCGCACTTAAAAAATTATAAGTCTAGCTACCAAATTTAAAACTTTTATTTGATAAGTCACTACTATTAAATAAGAAATTTCAAAAATTAAGGGAGGTATAAAAACTATTGACAAAAGTAAGGTATATGTTGGTCAAAGTAAAAAACTGGGTCGAGTTTCATTTTTTTTTATCTTTTTTAATTTAAATTAATTTATTAAATTAATATTTACTATGGAATATCTAGATGCTATTTATTTATTTTATTGGCATTTTTGTTATTTCCAAGACTATTTAAATTGCAAAGGTTTTTACAGCAAGTTGTAAGGCTTATTTGATCTTATACCCATTTTTTTATTTTGATCCATTTCCATAGACATTGACCATTCTTCATAATCAATATTCTCAAAAATCTATTTATTAATAATTAATCATTAAAATGAGATCAAATTAGCTCAAAACTTTTCAAATAAGTTAACAAATATTTCAATTATGCCAAATACATATAAAAATAATTATTATAATACTCATCAAATCGGTCCAAATTATATAAAATATAAAAACAATCACTCACCCAATCATCCAAACAATATAAAATATGAAAACAAGGAACATAATAATAAATTAGTAATAAAGAAAACCTAGTGCAAGACATCTTAAGCAAATCCAAAATTAGATATTCAAACCCTTCAAAATAATTCATAACTATAAAAAAAAAATCATAAAAAATAGAAAACATACCAAATAAAGAAAAAATATAGCCATACAAAAATTTAATAACTTGTCTTCTATTTTCTAAAGGAAACAGGAAAGTATACCATTATGAAGAAAAGAAAAAAAGAGGGAATAAAAGAAAAGAAAAATGGAAGAAAGGAAGGAAAAAAAGGCTAATAGTAAATTAAGAAAAAAAAAAGATTGAGAGAAAAAGAAGAATAAATAAAATAAAATAAATCGCAGCCGTGTGACTTAATTTTGACCACTTCTCTTTTTATCAATCATATTTGATAAAATTAAAAAAAAAATCTCTTATTTTAGAAAATCAATTATGTACTTAAATCTATTTTTCCAAAATCACTAATTTTTTACCATCACTCTTAATCAGACTCTCAATGGTTGCAATTTTGCTCAAAATCACAGTCATTGTACCGTTCTACAAAAAAAAAAAAGAAATAAATTATTTTTCAAAAATTCCTGTTTAATTTTTCATCTCACATTTTTGTACTAAAAGAACATACCGTACTAAAAGAACATACCATTTAAAATTCATGAATCATTAACAGCTTAAAAAAAAAAGACAAAAAATTGAAAATCAAGACATCTATCTAAAGCTTTTAAAGTATATAAATTAATCAGGTAAACACCATCTCAAAATCATATACTAAACTTCAATTTAATCCCATACATTGTGATAAAACCTATGCTAACTCTAAAAATGTAAATAACAAATATTGATATCCATTTTTTATCCTTCTACAGTATGTTTAAATTAGAGTAGTTTAGTCATTTATTTTGATCGATAATGTAGTTGTCGTAAGAGTTGTTATTTTTAAATATTTCTTTTAATCACTTATGCACCCTAGTAGGGGCAGTATAGTATTTTACACTATTCCCTTTGAGATTAAGGTTTTAATGATGTGAACAGAACAATTACTCGCACAATGAAGTTTAATATATATTTAGTTTGATTACCAAGAGTTCATCCTTTGTTTGCAATTTTTTATCGAGGTTGCAAGTCCGAATATTCTAGTTAGGTTTGATTTAACTTTCTCGTGGATTATTCAACTTTGAATAGGGAACTAGTTTTCCACTTCTCCTTATCTCTTGGTATTCAATTAGCAACCTAATTCATCATCTATTTTTTTTTAGTAAAACAAATTGGGAATATGAGGTTTGAACCTCCGACCTCAAGAAAAATAATATGTGTCAATTACCGTTGAGTTATACTCATGTTGGCAATTCTTCATTTGGAATTGTGCTCATTTGGTTTTAGGGTTTTAGGTATTGTTAGTTAGAGGGCCTTCTATATGGTGGGAGGGTTGAATGAGATCAGTGCTTATAAATGAATGTTATCATATATCCAAAACCAACAGTCAAATTGAATGATGTTAATTGTTATGTGTGAATTTACCATACTCGATTTATGTGAGAGAAGACTCAAGGTAAATGACACGAATCAAGGTCTGGTCGACTTGTTGAGCCGGATATAGGGAAGGTCTTACCAACCAAAGGTTGCCCATCACCTGGAGTCAATCCTTAAAGCTCTAGTGCCACAGTAAATCACAGGTACAATGCTAAAAATCATGTAGTTGTTAAGTCTCTTAGAACCTTGAACAATCACCGTGACGAGTGGCAGAGATTATGAAATAAGTAATTTAAACAACATGAAATTAAACCTTAAGTCACTCCCTCTATAAATAAATAACTAGTGTGAAATATGCCTTTACACAACACCCCTAATTATATCTACATTCAATTGAACCTTCTATCTCATTTAATTCGAAGTATGTTTAATCACACCAATATAATATATAGTATATGCAAGCAATTGTTTAGAGTCTCTATACTTATTACGTGATTCAAACCAAAATCTTGCATCAACAATATTTACAAAGTAGTTCAATCTTAGCCACCATGCATGCACTCTCTCCACCAACTTAATATATACTAAACTTTTATATATATATATATATATATATATATATAAAAGTGCTTATTTGTAAGTTAACGTGATTCAAATTGCAATTAATTAAAACCTTTACCTTATAATAATGATGAAGAGATTTGAGATGGGAGGAGAGAGATTTTTTTTTTTTTCCTTTTTTTGAGGGAGCTAGAGAAGAAAATGATTTGTGCCCATTCTGCTTCCTTTTGGATAAGACAAACCACTCAAAAAGCAACAAAAACATTTGGTTTTTTTAAGATAAGTTTGTGTAAGAAATTAAGAATACGACTGTGGCTTTTGCTGGTTCTTTTCCAAAGAAACGACATGCCTTCTTTTGGGAGGTGAAATTTCAGACCACGAAAAAGAGAGCAATCAGTTGATGTACAAATTAAATGGTGGTGGGGATCCAGCGAAAAGGTATCTCAACGAAACACACAAATGTAGAGTAGACATTACAACACTCGAGAAAGTAACAAGCAATTAGAATTGTGTACCTATGTACGTAGGAGTTGATGGATCTCACTTACCAGACAGTTATAATTGTCATGTGATCTGTGGAGCATTGTTGTAAAGACGGTTGAATAGTTTTGGTATATAGTTCATCATTAGCTATAAGGTAAGGCCGAGGTACTCCATATCCAAGCTAGAAATAAAGGTCGAGGTATTCTTGAGCCGAACTATCATTTAAGACCGAGGTAATCCGTTGACGAGCTATAATTTACTGTTAAGATACTTTGTAGCCGAACTATCATTTATACGGCCGAGGTATTGCTCTTCGAAAAATGGATTTAGGGCCTCACATATTAGTTAATATTGGTAAGCTCTTTTTACCGGTCCACGTGTCACGTCGTTTTTCACCAACCTAACATATATCATCACATGTTATATTTGTTGTCATATTTAGAGTCCGCATGTTAACTTTTTTCTTTGTTTCTCATTTTCTCTCTTTCAATCAAGAAAACATAATTGCATTGGGTATTGTTTGTTGTTTTTGTGTTATTTCTTCTTTATTGGAAAAGAAAAATATTGGTAAGCTATTTTTATTGATCCACACGTCACGTCACGTCACTGTCGTTTTTCATCACCTMTAACATAGGTCATCACATATCATATTTGTTGTAATATTTAGAGTGGGCTTGGTAACTTTTTTCTTGTTTCTCATCTACTTTTAAAAACATAATTGCATTGGGTATTGTTTGTTGTTTTTGTGTTCTTTCTCTTTTTTTTTTTTAATTGAAAAAGGAAGATTTGGTAACTATTTCTAATTTTTTTATTATCTAAAATTTTAAATGAAAAAAGTAAAAATTTTATATGGAAAATAATTTTTTAACCAAATATTTATTAATATTATATTTAATATTTGATATTTATTGTGCATTTTACAGGTTAAAAATTATAAAAAAATAAATAAAAAAATAATTTTATGTGTGTTTTGGAAAAAACTAGAAACATGAACCAAAAGCAATAAACTTATTGTTTCCAAAATTTCTACACACTTTTAGAAACGTTTCGTAAAAATGAAAAACAAAATACAAAAATAGTTATCAAACATTTATGTATTTGTTTTTTAAAAATTGGAAACGAGAAACAAAAAAAATTGAGAATGTTACCAAATATACCCTTAATTTCTTGAATTTGAAAATAGGTTTCTAGTAAGTTGACGAGACAATTGAGGGACAAACATTGTTCTTGGGAAAACCATTATTAGAATCCGACAAGTGATATGTCCATATTTCTATTATCATTAATTATTGTGTATTTATGAATATGGTTTTTCTTGTAGCTTTAAAAAAAATGAAGATGTTTTTCATATTTTAATATGAACAATATTTAGGTGCTGACTATATATATTCACTATTATAAAAAGAAAACATAACAGCTCATTATTTATAAAAATGAAGTACTAGTTTATGAGAATATGACTATTTGAACCTAATATTAACAGTGTCTTTGTTAATTACAAATTACTTTTACATGAATGAGTATATTTTAAAATTAGACATGTTTACCTATTACTAATCAGAATGAAAAATCAAGAGAAATCAAATCAATGGGAATGAGAATGCTATTTCTTTCATTGTTTAGGAGAAATTTTTTGGAATCAAAATCAGAACTAGTTTGATTTTGTTTACTAAAACTGTCTGAAATCGGAATCGGATATATGACAATTACTAGTATACCCCTGTCTTCTTTCTAACTAATCACAAACAAATATATATATTGTAGTGCTAATTTTTTCAATTACAATAATAATTTATTTTATTACTATATTATTGATAGTAAATATTTTTACCAAAACAATTTATTTAATATTAATATTAATAAATAATTAAAATAAAATTACATCCACTAAAATACTATTTTATTAGAACCATCATCATTTGATATAAAATATTAATAAATTTTACTATAATAATATTTAATAATAATGTTATTAAATTTTATTATTATAATAATTAATAATAATGAATTATATTTTAGAAAATCTGACATTAATTAATAATAACAAAATTAAATAAAAATTAAATATTTTATAAAATATCACATTAACTAATAAAAGTGATATAAATTCTTACTGAAAATTATTAGTAGTATAAATGAAAAAGAAATAAAAAAAAAGTATAAAACAATTAAATAAAAAGTTACGGGTCTCATTAATCATGGGAGAACAAGGGTAAAAGTAGAAAAGTAAATCCAATAAATATGTGAAATCCACGGAATAAAGAATGAGATTGATGAAGGCACACGGAGGAATGTGATTGTTGTCTGGATAAAAAAAAAAGTTGTAGGTCCTACCATTTAATTCTCATTCCAACAATTTGGTAAACACCATAAAAGAGAATTAAAAAAATTGATTCACATTCCTTCATTTCCATTATCTTGAAATAAACATGGTCTTATTAAAACTTAAATACTCAAATACAACTCTGTAATTTGTAGAGATTAAATTAAAAGTAATGACGATCTTATATCTTTAAAAAAACAAATGAAGAAGAAGAAATAAAATGATAAATAATTCTATTATGAGTAGACTCATCAAAGTTGTGGATGATAGTTTTGAGACTACACTGTTATACACATTGAATCGAAGTTAATAACATATTAAATCACAACCAATTAGATATGAAAATGAAGATTTTAATTCATGAATATAGTACAATAGAACGGTTGAATAATAGGATATTCTTTTTTAAGTACACCATCTAAGTTAACTTAATACAATAATCCTAAGAAATATCTTTGTCAAGAAAAAAAAAATCATAAAAAATATGTGTTGGGATAATGGAGCCAAAACAGGAAACACATGTCCCATGAAAAAAATGATTATAATATTGTTTTTCCTATAAGGATTAGGATATTTGACCTCCTATAAATAGAGTCGTTTTGTTTATGTGTTATTGCACATCAAAGTGGCTATGTGTGTTGTCGCATACATCATAGGAGCGGCCAGAATAGTGTTGGTGCACTGATTTCAGAGGTTTGGGAGCAGTGTTTGGTAGAGTTTCAGAGGCGAGATCTCAGGAATCGTAAAACGAAGTCAACAACCAATTTTTAAACTGTGGAAGGAGAAATTATTCATGGTATGTAATTTTTCGCATAGTAATAAGTTAAATGATTTATGATAGTTAAAATATGGCCAAACTAGTTAATATTAATAATTATAGTTTTTAATTTGATTCAAGCAAATCAATAGCACGTATAGTTGGGATAAATTTGCTAAATACTCTCAAACTTTTGTACCATTTTATCTTATCCACCTCCCAAATTATAGGTACAATTTGGACATATTTCTAGGAAGACGAAATGGCATACCATAGAGTATTTTAACAAAAATGTAGTTTTGAAATCAAATTTATTTCAAAAGAGTTAACTCTTCATTTCAAATAATTTACTCAGGGTATAAATACAAACAAAATTTCCCCAATTTGCATAGGCTGAAAATTTAGCAAACCATAACAAAGCTTTAGAAAATCTAGAAAATAAAAACACCAAGAAAATGTCGAGGAAGTGAAAATTTTGTAGCTCATGGAATAATGCAAAAACTAGAAAAGCAATTATGATTATTCCAACTCCCTGCATGAGCAATTAATACAATATTCTTCCAAACAACAGTTCATGAAATTTAATGCTCAGTTCATGCAATAAATTTTCAGAGGCCAAGTATCTATTAAGACCAATATCTCAAAGAACAAAGGGAAATAAAGGGCAGGTGACATTTAGGTTTGATTGTTGAAATTTGCAATTAGCAAACAATTCATTCCCGTACATATAGTTCAATGGTAATTTACATATATCGCCAATCAAGAGGTTGTGAGTTTGATCCGTCATTCCTACATGTTGTACTAAGTAAAAAACTCATCAGACTTGAACGGTCAAAGTTAGTTTTCGTTCACAAAATTCAAGGGCACGAAAATAGTTTTCCATTTGAAACTAATTTCAAGCGGAAAAGTTCCACACACATACTTCATATGTAATAACGACATAGGAACATTTCCACCATATCAATAAGTATACTAGCGCAGACTATGAACAAGAAAAAGAAAGAGAGTCACCTAGTCTTCTTCGAGGTTAGTATCTTCAAACATAGAAATTGTCATTTCCAGTTGAATCAAAATAGAAGCTGTTAACGCAAAAGATAAGAGACCTAACAAAAGTTTATAATAAAAATGAACTAGTAATTTCATCGTCAATTGGTTTTGAGATGAAACCCAATGAATATTGATATAATATTAGAGCTCAAAAGGCTCAAACGAACATCCAATCAAAAACTATAATTTTGAGAGAGCATGTTAAGGATCCACATTGAAAAGAAAATGGTCCTTACAAAAGTTTATAATAAACATAAACTACTTCTCTTAATACAAGCCATGAATATTGATAAATACCATGCGTTTAATCAACAAAATTTATTTCATTTTAATAGCATATTTGATTCACAAAAATTGAAATGTAAATTACACATTGCGTTGTCCCAACATCGATTGTCTACAACATCGACATCAACATCGCAAGAACTAAGTTACAAATATGGTATACTGAATTAGAATGACAGATTGGCCAAAACGATTCTGGCATGAAAATGTCAATGCTCGCTTCCTGACTTCCTACAAATCAAACAATTTGCTTCCTTGGCTTTCTGAATTAGATTAGAGACCTTATCATCTGACCATGAAGTTGCATTATTTCTCTCATTTGCTACCTATAACCTGTCCCTGGAAGGCCGTTTAGTCGTCAAGTGAAACCGAGATAGGCTACAAACCAAACCATCCCATGTCCCATTTGTCCCATATCCACAAGAAGTCATTGCACTGTTCTGGAGAATCGGATCTCTATATTATGGTGATTCCTCTATCTGAATGTGAGGCGCTTAACAGATTCTCCATTTGAGTATTAAGAGCAATGTCAAGCAACGAGATCCACTTCGTCACGGTCTGGAGGAACAACATCTAGCCTCATCATGCTCCTATACTGATCTGGAATAGGTGCACCTGCTTGCACGCATAGTTCAACGACCGCTGGAACCTGACCGTAAAATCTCTTCAACTTGTTATCCAGAGGAGGCCCTTCCAGATCTCTCACATGCCATACATGATTGGCGCCCACAAGATCGTCTATCGTTGCCTCCTGCCATGCATGCAACCCATTGCGAGACTGATGCTTTGAACCTCGACACATTCTTACCTTATGCCCCCTAGGACCAACCTGCACCTCAGGACAGTATCCACATGTTTGCACCCTGTACTTTTCCATTATTTTCTTTGCTCCGGACACCATTTCAAGCCACCAGTCCAGTGTTTTAATGCTCAATTTTCTCAACTCGGCCTCTTCTTCGTTTGGCTGATCCGTAATATTCCATGAGAATGAGCGTGTACTGGTTTCTTCAAGATCTATCCCACAATCAGATTTTCCAAAATTATCACTATTGGTGAAATCAAAATGGCCTGTCTCAACCTCGTTCTTTTCCTTCACCAACTCAAAATCTACAATTCTCCCTTCGATACTATATACAGGTTTTGTTCGTCTTTTGGAAGGGTACTTTTCAAGATCGACACCAGCTTGGATGCATAGCTCCAATATGGCAGGTATCCTTGGTACACCATGCCTCTCATCATGCCCAACTCTTGGTTTCCCTACACGATCATAAAGATGGTAACACTTAGGGAAAAAAACCACATCTTGAACACCTCCCTTCCTCCAGTTGTGAGTAGCACTTCGAAACCCACTATTCGCACCACTGCAAGTTCGAATTTCATGACCTTCATGTCCAATATGAACCTCAAAGCAGGACCTGAGGGAAATAAGCTTCAGCAAGTAAGTCTATCAAATCCTTAATTCAGCCAACGTGTATATGTCAACCTAAACAACTATCCAATTGGTAGAAACAAAGAAAGGAGAATAGTTACAGAAGAGTTTGATCTAAACTCGATAAAAATACATTAAAGTTAATAATCTCTCACGTATCACTCAAATGTTACTTTCTACTTCTTAATAGCACCTCTCATTTCATTCGAGGCAAGTTCTCTCCCTTGTAACTTTCACAATATTCTCTCAAATTACTTTCTTAGCTGAGTGGATTTGGTGGAATTAGTTAAATTCCAAGTAGCCTCTTCTTGTGTCAAATCGAGAAAATTTATTAGTTATTCTAATAGTGATATTTTTGTAATTGCCATGTTTTCAAGTAATCTCTTTATTGGAGTTTTTGATACACAATGTAACTTTTCCATATCAATAAAGTTATGTTTGCATTCATAGAAACTGCATCTTCCAATTCCTATTTAGTATTTATCAAAGCTCCGCAATAGTGGTTGCGTATATGATTATAATTTTCAAGGAAAGCAAAGGAGCAGAAGGATGAGTCACATTTAGAGGAGATGAATGAAACAGAAAATAATATAGAATGGTACAACAGGCACCTGCATCGTTGAACGGGAATGACCTCCACGAGCCTCGACATGCCGAAGAGGAGCGATTTCCAAGCTAGGTAGACTGCTTGAGCTACATGGACAAGATCAGGCAGCAGCAATCCATTGTCGGGGGGATGTTCAACCATCCTACAAGGCTGGGCCTTTCTGGCTTTTCTCTCCTCTTTCGCCCTTAGAATCAAAAGGTTCATGGGAGTGGGATAGGGTTTTCTTTCGGACTTCCTCGTACGGGGTTTGGGTATATCTACATAGAGAGGATCGTGAGCGTCATGTTCTAGTTTCTGTGCCGTCTGGGTGAAGGTGGAAGAATTGTGAGATGATATATGCCGACAGAGATTCTGATGACTACATCCACTCCTGAGGTCACAAATTTGCCGGACAAGTAGAAATAAGCTTCTTCGTCGCATTAGATACTTTTGAACAAAAGTTGAGATCAGAACAACAACGTCCACTGCAATAAAGTTAAATATTTTTGAAAGTCACCACCTTTAAAAAAATATGAGATAAACTTTCAATAAATCTTTTTTTGAAGGTTAACTCAACCTTCACCAGTCAGGTCACAATAAAACATATCTAGCTTATGGTGTTAAATCTCCACATTGTCTAATTCCATCCATCAAGAAAATAAACTAGAAAATCTAGTTACCAACCACCCACTAAAACCTTCACTATGGAATTCCACTACTCGATTGTGTTACTGGAAAAAAACAACAAATAAACGATAAGATTTTGGTACTTAATAAACCGAGATGCAAGAAAATAGACCTTGGATAGATATACAGAACAACCTAGAGGCCTTCACAAAGCTCACTTTTTTTAAAGTTTCAAGGGGGGACTCAGTGAGATTTTGGGAGGATAGATGGATTGTTCCTTCTCCCCTTTCTTCTTTGTTCCCTGATTTGTACAGCCTTTCCACTAAAAAGAACCATTCTGTGGCAGCTTGCTGGGTTACCGAGTCTTCAACTTGGGATATCGGGTTGAGAAGGAATCTTTTTGAGGAGTCTTTTTGATAGGGAGATCGATAGATGGGCTTCTTTCACTGACAAATTAGGAGGTATGGTTCCGGGCCAAGGCAGGGATCGTTTATGGTGGAAGGCTGATAGTAAAGGTTGTTTTACAGCGAAATCAGCTTTTATAGCTTTGACGGCTCCCTCCCCTAAATTGAACACGACCACAGCTTCTATGATATGGAATTTTAGGGTTCCAAAAAAGGTGAAATTTTTCCTATGGACTCTCTTTTATAGGAGCACAAACACAGGCGAGAGAATACAAAGAAAGCTCCCCCATTGGATGCTCTCCCCTTCGGTTTGTGGTCTCTGCCTAAGAAATTCAGATTCGGTGGATCATATTTTCATCCACTGTTTTTTTGTCACTCGAGCTTGGAACTATATGGCTTCGCTTTTGGATTTCTCCTTCTGTCTTCCTAAACATATAGATGACTTCGTAGCGGAAGGATTTGGTGGGGTGACGCTCAAAGGCGAAGCTGCGATCCTATGGCAATGTGCAGCGAGGGCTCTCCTTTGGCATCTTTGGAAAGAGACAAATAGTAGACTTTTTGAGGACAAATCTGTCCCTTTAGATTCTTTTTGTGTGAATACAAAACATACAGCTTCTTGGTGGGCCACAATCCACAAGAAGGCTTTTGGAAACTACAGTCTTTTTCTGATTTCACAGGATTGGAAAGAATGCGATTGTATAGTTCTCTTTGGGGAGGGTTCTCTCTACCCTCCGCCATTAGGTTGTTCTCGCCATTTTGGGCTCTTTTGATGCAAGAAAAGTACCTGGTCGAGGACTACTACGTAGTTCTCTTTTACTTGATCGGACCTAACATAAATAGAGTATATATCTCTAGGCATGTTATTTTTTTTATGAAACTTGCTTCCATTATATAAAAAACACTCGGTACACTAGCCACTTCTATCCTTTGGAAGTAAAAGAATTTACAGGACTGGAAGAATCCCTTAGAAGCAAGAGAAATCTTTGATAAATTTGCTATAGCAAAGGGACTTGATGTTGAGGCACCTACTGGAATTTGTAATCAAAGGTAAAAAATAAAATTTATTACAAGTCCAGTGGAGGAATCTCAAGAATAAGGATTCATTTCAAATAGTGACAGAAATATTATACAACAAAGTCCTTTACAAATGGAAAATATTGAAATTGCTCTAATTTTTGTAATTAGAAACACAAGCAACTCCTATTTGTCATTCAAAACTGCAAATAATGATGGTTACAGGCTACATATGTCATTTAGGGAGTCGAAGTGGGTGGACACATACAACATCAATTAAATGAAGCAGTCACAAATGAAGCTAATAATTCTACCATACACATCCCCTGAAGGTGTAAATTTTTGCATTACCTTTGCATATCAGCTTCTCTTTATGACAAAGGGACTCAAGTAGAATTTTTCTCCTTCACTTCATCATCTCAATACTCCAAAATTACAGCAGTAATTAGAGTAAACCAAGCGGCTATCAGCACTCAATTATCTTCCTTATCTGAAAACTACCACTACTACATTATTCTCTTTATTCTCTCTTGTTGGTCCACTTTTGTATTCTTACTAACTTCCTTCTTTGGTGATCTTCTTCCTCTTTTACTATTCTAACCGTTAGTCACAGAGATGAGTTTGTATGATCTATGTCTTTTCGTGTAAGATATATACATGGACGGATTGCAACCTTTGAATTTTATGCAATGGAATGGTGCAGTGTTATACTACTTTAAATAATTTAGAATAATTATTGCATAAAATTTGAGCTAATGAATAGATACTCCCAACATTACCTGAAACTAAAAGTCGAACGGAGTGGTGCGGGTAAATGAATAGTTGAGCTTATCGATACCGATGCAGGGAAAACATTACAGTCAATAGTAAGGTCTACACAATTAACAAGCAGATAATTCAATAAACACCTGCTGTTTAAACATTATGAAGAAGGAATGGACATTTGCACGATCCTTGGCGTCAATCTCGACCACATAGATTCAGAGATCCATACGAAATTGAAATTTACCAACCAGTGCGTGATCAAAGAAAATGCAGAAGAACAAACAATTAAAAGATACTCGAAAAATCTCAATCGACTTCGATAAGGAGGATTTTAAAGTTGATCTTGCATACCTGAGAGAGTAAGTTGCGGAAGGGACAATTAGCGAGAAGAAAAGGGGATGACGGCAAATCAGATACCTGCGAGATAAGGCACTGCAATGAGCGGCGACCGGTCGAAGGCGACGGACGACGGCGGGGACGAGACGGCACGGCGGCGGTGAGTCGACGGCAACCGGCGGCGGCGGCACGAATGCAAAACTAGGGCTGGGGGCAAAGCAATCGTACGACGATTCCCTGATTATTATTATTATTATTTTCTTTTTGAAAAAGATGAATTCTCAGTTATATTGTATTATACTATTTACAAGGATAAAATAAGCTTTTGGTTTTCGAGTTTGAGACCTTTTTTATTTGCTTCTTGAATTTTAAAAATTAACCGTTAGAGATTAAAAAGTAACAGTTTAGTAAGTTTTAAAAAGTAAGATCCAAAGACTAAATTTTTATTTGATTCCTAAGATTTAAAAGAACTGTTACAAAATGATTTAAAAATCTTTTGAGTCAAACTTCGTTAATGACACTAATAGAAAGTTAACTTGTCACTAACGGAACGTTGACATCAAGTGACATTTATGTTTAGAAAACTAAATAGTTTCTTTTCAAGGAAGATGAAGGAAAAATGACAAGTTTGACCTAAAAAGTTTTTTATTTTGCTCAAATAACGTAACACTTGAAAATATGCTTAAATGACCTAAAAGAACTTTTTCTGATATGGAATGTGAAAGTACAAAATTGTCACTGATATTAGAGGTGTTCAAAAAACCCGACAATCCGACGAACTCAACCAACCCAACCCGGGTCGGGTTGGGTTGGGTTAGATTGGAAAAATCTCAACCCGATATATATATATATATATATATATATATATATATATATATTAATTAGTAATATTACATATATATAATAATTATTAATCAAAACCTTATTTTTTAGGTTCAATCTCAACCATCCATTTCCATTTAGGGTTTCATTTCTTACTTTCTAGTTTCTAATCTCTTCATCTCTTCCATTTACCCAACCAAACTCTCTCCTCCATTTTTATCCATCATCCAAGCTTGAACTTGAAGCTCCTTCCTCCCCCCGCCGCCACCGCACCATCTTCTCCCACCCCACCTCCCGCTGTATCCGTTGTCTTCCCGCCACCCCGTCGTCGCCGCCCGTTTTTTAACTAGGTAAGTTTCAGACCGACACCTCTGCTTGGGTTCTCTTTGCCTTTTTTGTCTTCTTTTTAAACTGATATAATGAAAAAACTTAAGTTTGAAGTAGAAAAACCGGGTTAAAACTCGAGCCAACTCGAAGCAAACAATGATGGAGGGTGAACTCGAGTATTTTTTAGTACAAAAACTGAGGGTGAAAGATTTGAACTCATGGCCTCTTGGTTAGATACAGATGTCAATTACCGTTGAGCTAAGCTCATGTTGACTTGTGAACATGAATATTGATTAATGCATATCCCTACTTATTATAACTAGTTAATATCACGTGCATTGCACGTTGTTATAAACATTTTAATATAATATTTCTAACAATTGAACATATAGAATAACAATTTAACAAAACTTTTAAATGCACTAATATTTTGTTTCAAATAAAATATATTTAATATAATATTTCTACCAATTTAACGTATAGAATAACAACTCAATGGAACTTTTAAATGGTACTAATATTTTGTTTCAAATAAAATATATTATTCGTTGTCAATTTTTCTTTTTTAAGAAAACAACAATAATCTTTTTGTGTGTTTTCTTAAATTATTTACTCATTCTTTTATCTTCTGTATATTATGTAATAAGGAAGAATGAACCAAAATTAAAGAATTGATATTTGAGAGAGAAACTGAATACTATGTATGCCATGAAATCATTGAAAAAATGTGGAATAAAGAATCACATGACCAAGAAAAATAAAATAAGAACAACAACAATCAAAAAGTCATATTAAGATAAATAAGAAAACTAATACTAAAATATAACATGAATATATTTTAAAACGTGAAAAGAACCTTAACTAAATATTAAATCAAACTTGAAAATAACATTAACTAAATATTAAAACACGAAGGTATCATGAATATATAACTTAAAAGTAATCCACATAAAATATTAAAATAATCTAAAAGAAATAAAAGTTGAGGATAATACGAATACATGATTTTGTTACTCTACCTCTTAATCGATTAAATATGTTTCTGGAATCTCAAATATTCTTTTGACATGGTTCAATTTTAACTCATGAAGATAAGAAAAATCTGCATTAATATTTTGGAAATGAGTCTTAGGTCATAAAAGAAAAAGACATAATCTTTCATTTTATAGATTATTTGCTATGACACCTATATGTGGATAGATGCATCACTTCATCAAATAATTGTAACTTTCATTGGATTAACTTCTCTCAACACACATTTTCACTCGAACAGTTACAACTCTTTTGGATTAAACTCCTTGTTTCATCGAATGATCACAACTTTTTGGATTTGTTATCTCAATAGACACTTTAACTCGAACAGTCGTGTCTCTCGTAGAAATTTGAAGGGCAAAATAGGTATATATTCAAAAGTTGGGGGCAAAATGGGGAGGCAAAGATTCTCCTCCATAGCCTCATTTAGATATAGTATAGATATAGATATAGATATAGATAATTCAAATATAGGACAACAATTTAACATAAAGAGGGCATTTTTCATCTTATAAATCATGTGCTATTTAAGTCGAAAAACTACATTTTTCTATGGACCATGGGTTGTGTTGGTAATAGGCAATAAAATAGACAATAGTGTCTTTGTGGATGAAAAACTCATGAATGACTAGATCTTAGACTTATTAAAATTTGAGGACTAAAATAGAACTCTATCATATAGATTGAATTAAAATTAATGACAACTTTATATCTTAAGGAAAAAAAAGAAGAAATAAAATTGTTATGAGATGAGATTTGGACAGATGAGAAGAAGTGGGCTTAGGTGAACCGAAGAGGCCCAACAAGCCAAGCGACCGAGCAAAGGCCAAATAAGGGCCAAGCCACATGGTCCGACCAGGGCTCGGCCAAATGGCTAATCTCTCTTCCCGCCTCTCCTGTTAGTTGAGGTGGCCTAGTCTGTAAACCCCCATGATCCAACAACTCCATCAACGATGGGCTATGATAGCCCAGTATAAGGGATTTCAAAGGGGAATAAAGCAGCATGCTAATCTTAGAGGTATACCTAACATCCCTACCTTAATACTTGGCAACCTTATTCCTCCGCTCATAACTTACGTATCGGAGCCCGTGTGACAGAAGTCACACCGGTTTAGTGCTGCTCGATTTTGCAGATAACCGGTCCCATGATCATCAAGTTTGGTGCTAGTTTGGCGAGAATCCAAGAGACCGAATTCAGCATCAACAAAAATGATAAATGGTTCCATTCATATCATCTATTACGGCTATACTCATCAATTTTGACGATAGTTTTGAGACTACGCTATTACATACATTGAATCGAAGTTAATAAAATATTAAATCATAATGGTTAGAAATGAAAATTGTTTGGGATTTTGGATTCAAAATAAATGAGAGCGCAAGTGTACACCCGTCACAAGTAAAACGGAACAAGTATTCCGAGTATCGATCCTCAGGGACAAATGAAGTCTTTTTATAGGAAATGTTAATGATCGGTGACTTTGTAATTGAATTTGGGGTGACAAATAATAAGGATAATGTTGGTTTTGATATTTAAAAACTCAATGCAATAAACTCAGCCCAGCTACTTCAAATTAGTTAAGAATACGCAAACTTTTTCCAACTAGGCGTCAGGCGCCTCTCATAAATTTTCTTCGGTTTTACTTCGTCATCTTCTTATGTCTAAGTGATTTTGAAGGTTTAAGTCCATTCCTAATATGTCTATTAGAAAAAAGAACTTCATTTAGCAAAAACCAACCATAAGCTTAGGTTGAGGTCCTATGTCTAGGTTACCCGAACGAAATCTTTATGTCTAAAGTATTTCTCTCTAAAGTTAAATCAGTAAAGTTGTGAAAGCGTATCAACCCTTCCAGTATTGATGCTTGGTTAAAACATTAATTGGCCAAATCAAGTTTCAACTTATGAAAACAACTTTAAGTGATAAAATGGGAGAAAAAACGTCTTTTGCCTTGTTGGATTTTAAAAACTTTAACTAACTATCCATAACCGGGCTTGAGAAAAATAAATTTAGCTCAGGCTAATAAAGGAAAAATAGAATTGAACGTTAATGGAAGTAAAAGACATGATTAAAAGATGAGTAGGAATTAAGACAAGCTAGAAATAGTGAAGTTGTAACCCGAATGACCCTAACTCATTCTCTTTTAAGATTTGGGAGCAGTACTCGGTCAATTCCTCAAGGTTGAGTGATTACAACTTTGTAATGAGAACGAGAGAGATGAATAACAAAGAACTTGTTGGAATTTTAATTAAACAAGATTAAAGCTTACAATTCAAGACTAACAAGCTTGAAATAAAGGGTGAACTAGAAATAAGCAAGGTTTAAAACAATAACAACTCAAAGACTAAAAGAGAAAACGTAAATGAGCTGAGAAGGAATGTCTAAAGCTAAAATGATCACTCAGGATGATTAATGAAGAGAATGAGCGACTGAATTTATAGGGACTTCAAAGTGGTTAGGAGGTTGAGAGCTTTGTGGGGAATCATCCATTTCAAACACCTTTTGGTTGGTTAGTTGTTGAATTGACAACCTTTAATGCATGGAAGACATGTGGTGGAGCTTGGGAAGACTTCAAATCACACCAAAACGTGCATTTTACATTAAGGGCAATCTCAGGATTGGGGAAGGCGCCAGGCACCTAGCTCGGAATTTTTCTGCACAAAATTGTAATTTTTGTTAGAAATCAACTCTAAATGATGTAAAAACGTGCGATGTGCATGTATAACCTAAGATAACTTAAAGTGAAAGGATTTGGACACTAAACCAAGCTTAAATCACGGTTTCTAAGTTTAAAACGTTAAAAAACAGAACACATTTATCTTCTTTTTACCCTTATAAACAAGGGAAATCAAAAATGGATATTTTAATTAATTTGTGAATATAGTACAATAGAACGGTTGACTTAATATGATATTTTTTAGTTCACAATCTAAGTTTATTATACTTGCATTGGTAAGTTGATACAATATTGATCAGAAATGCAGACATTGATCCTAAAATTATAGCTACTTGATAATATAAATTAATGATTTATGATAGTTAAAATATGGCAAAACTTGTCAATATTAATAAATTCTAGTATTTAATTTGATTCAAGCAAATTAATAGCATGTCTACAGTTAGGATAAATTTGCTAAATTGTCTATATAACTTCTGTATCATGTTTATTGTATCATGTTTCTATAACTAGTAAGAAATATGAGGCAGGTCAAATTTCATAGTTTTATTTTAAAAGTAATAAAAAGTTAACTAAATAATTAAAATTTTTAATATATTTTAACTTTTTTTTCTGTTCATATTTACAACATTATTCTCTCTTGTTGTTCCTTGCACAAAACTTGACGCTGCAGTAAATCTCATCATCCATTGATATGAAAATTTTTAATAAGTAAAATTCAGGGTGTTTATGCAGTAAACTAGATTAGGTCAAACTTGGTAAAGGTATGACAGGTGGAATAGTTACAACGTCCAGTCAAGGAATGACGTACACAAGAGAGGCAAATACTATGACGCTCAAGTTAGTTTAAACTCTGCCTTAATAGGGAGTTCGAGATAGAATTCGGTACCTGATGTAGGAGTGAGGCTCTCTATTTGGGTCCTCTGTCTTAATAGGGAGTTCGAGATAGAACTCGATACCTGATGTAGGAGTGAGGCTCTCTATTTGGGTCCGATAGGCCATCCGATAGGTCATCCGACTGACAGTTATACGTGTCGATCTAAAGGTTGGACGTGTCAGGTGCCTGAGTTCGGACCTAGACAAAGGTTGTGCTGTTGGGAGGTAACTCTCAAACATCTTCCAACTAAGTAAGACACGTCGGACCTATTTGAGATGGCTTTTTTGGGCAACCTGGTCCACCTGGCACTTTCTCTATTCCATGTGACTAGTGTAAATATAAACCACTTAACACATATCTTTAAATTTTCACCATCTTTCATTCTTAAAAGTAATGATGCATAAAAGAAAAAGAACACTTTATTTTGATTTCTAATTGATGATTGTTTATTGTCGAAGTATTGAGAGGGGAAGAAGAATCTTGTTTTCATTTTTCTTTTTGTGTAAAAAGAAAGAAAAAACGTTTACCCCGTTGTGATAGGATTGAAAAATGACTACAACATTAAGGGCAAAACTGGCACAACTCCTCTTTAATACATGTTATAGAATAGTCAAACCGCAAAGTGTTAGGAATATGAAACAACTCATTAATTGTTTTTCATAAAAAAAAATCCATAAATTAAACCTTTTATTCAGAGGATGGAAATGATTTGTTTCCTAATAAGCATTTATTCAAAATTATAGGAAATACAATAGTTGCATAATTTTACCTCCCAATTTATATTGAAAATATCATAATCAGAAGACAAAAATGACACATAAAATTTCTAATGACTTTTACATGTACTAAAGATATAGATTATTCTATTAATGCAAATGCCTCCAATTTATAAATACGTAATGGCCTTGTTGAACTCAACCGGCCATCTTTCCTTCTCTACCCATACACTCTTCAGCTAAATAACATAGAAAAGTCAAAAGCATAGTTCAAGTGATTAAGATACTGACCAAAAGATCATAAGTTCGAATCCCCACCCCCACATGTTGTACTAAAGAAACTACAGAAAAAAACAAAAATTAAATAACACAAAAAAAAAACAAACAAATAAAAGAGTAATAATAAAAGGTAATTGGCCTCTTCCATGTTCCATTCTGTCAATATTTGCACTTCCCATAACCTGAAAAATAAAACCAAATTAAGCACTTCTAATTAATTACAATTCATCCCAATTTTATTTTAGAATGAAATAACCGAAGAAAGTAGGTAAATTTTAAAAGAAATGTATAGTTCATCTATTTAATCTTTATACTTAAAAAATTATAATTATGTAAATGAATTTAAGTTATTGCCATTAATTTTATCCATTTAATATTTACATGAAATGTTGATCGTATAAATTAGAAATTAACGACTTACTCGGATCCATGGTGGTTAGGGCTCCCGTTTGATCAAAATCACAATCGTAATCGTTTCCGTCCGTCGCTTGGAAGTACGCGTTCATGACGTAAGCAGCATGAGCTCGGACCGTGTTGGGAGCAAAACATGGCCCATTTTCTTGGATCGGCCCACAATCCAAGCCCATCCCACAGACATAGTCAATGTTTCTCTGCAAGGCCTCGGAGTCGGCCCCAGTCTTGGGCAAGCACCACTTTTTGCCTCCAGTCACTGGGCTTGGACTTTTTGGTGGCAGTACTGGGGCTTCAACTGGGCCGTGGTGGGCTCTTGGAATAGACGACTGAGCCTGTTAGATCCAAGTCGACAACAAACCAATCAACCAACATGTAACGATCATGATTATGAAAAACGTTTTAGGA